CCCACGCTTCGGCATATAATTTAGTGAACATCACTTTTCAATTTAGAAATAGTGTAGCAGGAGTTTTTTAGTACCAGAACTAGAAAGCAATTTTATGTTGAATCATCTATGGAAAAGAACACATTAAACAAGAAGCTCAGACTCACACGTGTTATAAGGTAAGAGAAATATTTATTTAATTTTTCACAAGAACGAGCTTATACTGAACAAATTCAACCAAATAATATTAAGTGCAGTAAAACAAGGAAATAGGGGTGACTTTTCCTGTTAGAAAATATTAAGTAACCATGCCTGTGCATTATTTTTATCATTACATTAACATTTCAGATTTCTTTTTCAGAGTGTGTACTGTACATAACATGTTGTAGCTTCTTTGCTTTGCTTCTGAAAATATAGTTCATTCACTGCCTCACATTTTATTTTCTGCAGTGAGAAACCTAACTGATTTGTGAAGATTCTGATCTGGAGGAAAATTTTCTGCACCAGTGAAGCTAGAAGCTTTTGAAGATCAGATGGGCTCAGGCTTTCTATCCAGGGGTCACGGTGTCATGGCATGTGTCCCACACCCCTTCTTCTACAAGCTGATGTCAGACACGGTAGAGGGAGAATTGTGGTCTAGTTTTGCCCCAAGGATTTTCCTTTTGTGATTTTTCTCAAGCTCCACAAATTTCATAATTGAAAGTTCACTCAGCTATTAACAAAGCTGCATTTAGCTGCCCACAAATCATCCAATTTAAGGTTTAACTTTTTATTATTTTTGGTCTTTTTTAGTGAAAGAACATTCTTTAAACAGAAATCTCCCTTGAGGCAGTTAACTTCACAGTTCCTGAAGGCACTGTGGATCCACTGAGCAACAGATGTGGCCATTCTAAAGAAAAGAGTGGGAAGGAAAGCAGAGGATGAATGTTTCAGCCATTCGTAAATACTCTCACTTATTGACTGGTACATATGAACGTAACTGAAGAGTTCAGTTGTTATTGCTGCACTCCTGAAAGTTCAATGGCACAATCACTTTTCATGCTGTACTTTTGCAGAACCAATTATTATGCCCAGTTATTCCTGGCAAGTCATAGACTGGCTTTATCTACCCTGTGGCTTCCTCTTGTATCACATTTGTTATTTTATTTATTCACAAAATATGTATTGAGTAAAATAAGCATTATATACAATGATAAATAAAGCAGATATGGTCGCTACCATCATAAGGCAAGGTTTACAGATTATCTGGGGAGAAAACTAGTAACTACCAAGCAAACATTGTGAAAAGTGCTACAATCCAAAATTGTGAAAAGTGCTAGAAAGGTACTAAATGTTTGGGCCCTCTCAACACTCATATGTTCAAATCCTATCCCAAAGTGATAGTATTAAGAGGGGAAGCCTTTGGGAGGTAATGAGAGCATGAGGGTGGAGCCCTCATGAACAGCGTTGGTGCCCTTATGGAAAGACACGAGCGAGCTTGCTTCCTCTCTCTGTGCTCTCCACCAGGAGAGGATATAAGGAGAAAATGACCATCTGCATCCTCACCAGACACCGATCTGCCAGCACCTTGATATTGCACTGTAAGAAATGAATTTCTGCTGTTTAAGCCACCCCGTCTATAGTATTCTATTATAGCAGCCCAAACTGATTAAGACAAAAGGAAATGACCTAGGCGATGTCATGAGATTAATAAAAGACTGACTATTCCGATTGCGTGGCCAGGATAGACATCTCTGTAGAGGTGATATTTAAACAGCTCGTGAAGGGGCAGGCCAAAAGCACAGGGAACAGCGTGAGCAGAGGCTTTGAAATGACAAGAGTTTTATGTAGTTAAAAAACTAAATAAAGATCTGGGTGAGAATTTTCAGTCGGTGAAGAAAACAGCGTGTAGATGAAATAGGAGGAACAGGCAGGGAAGGGCCAGATAAGCATAATTAGTTTTTATAACAAAGTATCAAAATAATGTAGTGTACTACAAAGAGGAAAAAAAATACACCTTATTCTTTTGATTCTTTGCACTCTTACTTTTCTTAACCAGCGAACTAATACAAATAATAATGTTAGTAGTATTATTATAATCCTAACAATGATAATATTCCTCCACTTCTTGAGTGTGTGCTTTGTGTCAGATGCTTTTCCAGGCATTTGAAATACATTATCTAATTTCAACCTCACAGCATTCCCAGTGGGATCACTAATAATAGTCACACTTTTTAGATACAGAACCTGAAGATCAGAAAGCTTAAATATCACATCCATAATCACACAGCTAATAAATGGCAGAGCTAGGATTAAAAGTCATGTTAGTTTGATTCTAAGTTTATCCTCTATTCTACATTTCTTCTCAGATCATTGACTTTAGATGATGAAAAATGTATTATACTTTAATATGATAAAATCAAAAGTGTCTTTGTTTCTATAAGATAAAACTTAAATAAAAAGATTTTGATACGCTAGCCTTTGTTGAAGCATACCAAATGAGGGAAAAAGCCAGTCTACACTCAGGAAAAATAGTATCAATTTAACCTAATCCTCATCCTTTCCACATTATTATCAAGCAGAGTTATTATTCTGGCAGAAAGACAGAGAGCAATTAAAATGGGGCTAGTGTGACTTAAGGAGTTAAGTTTAATTTTATTTAATTTAAATTAATTTAAATTTAAATAGTCAGCATAGCATAGTTCTAGACTATAAGCTGCTAGACAATAATTCCAGAACAACTCGTGTCTGATTTTGCTTATTGTGATACCCCTAGTACCAGCACAATGCCCCACACAGTATATATTCATTGTCTAAAAATGTATAATGCAGAGGGGGGTGAGATGGGGAGGAAATAAGTAAAATCAGTGATCTGAAAGCACCAAATTGTAAAAAATGCTTACCTCCAATGCAATATCTGGATACTGTTTATACCGACTTTATTTTTAAAATAACAAAATTAATGTAATAAAAATAAATATTTGGGTTAAATTAGGAAAAATTGAGCATATTCGTATAACTCATATTTAATAAGAAAGTAAAAGGGAAATGGCATGAAACAGTAACTTCCAGAAATCAGCAATTAAGGACAAGAAGAAATGACTTCAATATTAAAATACACTTTCTGGAACACATTCCTATTAAGAGCCAAAAGATTCTAATAGTTGTTTTTAAGCGAATGACAAGCTCATTCATGCTCTTTACCCCAGAAAACACACTGTTTTCCTGCCTATGACTAAATGCATTTTTCTTACAGGAAGCACTTATCTGAGCTATATGTGGTGATTTTCATCCCATCGCCTGGTATGTATTTCTGTTGTCACTGCTCAGAATATTAATCTAACAGTTAAATTATGGGTGTAACAGGACTCAACTCTATTTGGCAATTAAGTGCCAGAAAGCATTTCCCTGTTGGTCACCAGTGCTGAATTTTCGAGATGTGCACTATTAAATTTACTCACATTAAACATGTATTCTAGGAACACTGCATATACATTATTAGTAACTTTTAGTAGTAGTGACTACTACTACTAAATGCAGCAAATGCTCACTCAAAAAAGCTTTTGAAAAATTGCATTGATTGCCTTGATTGAAAGAGCTAGAAATTTGGGTTTGAAAGAGATAAAAATGGAATAGCAAAGCTTAAAACATTTTGTATTTTTGTCCTGTTAGGTCAACTGCTCTAGTAAGAATCTGTACTAAGTGAATCTAAATTAAATTGCTTTACTGAAAAAAAATTACAAAGTGGAAACACACACTTAAAAAAAACAAAGCAGTTATAGATATCAGGCTATGATGGGAAAATCTGACATCTCTGCTATTTAGTTGGTAAGTCTTCAGATGATTTATTTAGTTTTAGTGTTGATTTCAAATTTATGACTATGAAGTACAATGACCACTAAATTTTCATGGAAATTACAATCAAAGTAGAATGCTTTCAACTTTGTCACTATGTATGAAATCTATATATAGGTGCTCTGTCTACATTATCTGTATTTTTGCTCTCATTGAAGTAAAAGGCAGAACAGTCTGTTTTCCTATGAGAATAAAGAGAAAATCTTTATAATGATTTTTCTCCAACTGTAAGAATAAAATATGGTAAACAACAGATCTTAAATTTTTAAACCTAATGTAACTGACCACAACAAACCAAGAAATATGCCCATTTTTGCCATATCGGTTTTCACTTTAGAAAATGTAATATGTCTATTTCACCAATATATCTTACAAATCTCATAAAAGAACCAGATAAAAATCAATGAAATAATACTGTCTCCCATCATGAAAGAAGAATCATGAAGTGTGGTGTAGTTTTCTTTTTTTTTAAAGATGTGTACAGTTAGCTACTTTAGGGCAATTTAAATAGGTTATTTCTATTCTGGTGATATAAATAACTGATCGTTCTGGTTTCAGTCCACGCACTCTCCTCCTCCCTGAATATACACTGGAGGATACACATACCCATCAGCCTTGGTACTAATAGGGCCGACCCCTACTCCTCCCACTTCCACTGGAGAAACAAATAAGAAAAAAAAAAAGTTTCCCGAGGATACACATACCCATCAGCCTTGGTACTAATAGGGCCGACCCCTACTCCTCCCACTTCCAATGGAGAAACAAATAAGAAAAAAAAATGTTTCCCATCATCCTGGTTAAGCACATTAATACATATGAGCCCTTAGTGCAGCTGACAATGTGGTCACTACTTGAATGTCGTGAGCTTTACCTTGCACTGGCAGAGAGTACATTCAGTGCCACGTTTGATCCAAGAGGACCCAGTGAAGCGAACCACATTCACCTCGTCCAGGCAAGTTTTGGTGATGTCATTGCGGATGGTGTCAGCCTGGCAAGGGTCGGCAACACAGTGAGGGCAACACTCGTTCTCCGGGAGGACACTGAATTCACACTCCACATCTGGGCAAGGCTGGGGCCAACAGTCAACTTCCCCTTGCTGTAGGGAAAACAGATGTGCAGGGCAGGGGGAGAGGAAGGGAGGAAATGGAGAGAGGCGGGCAAGGAGGAGGGGAGCACCGTGTTCACCGAATACTCACTTATTTGATTGATATGGATACTTGGGCCTTCAAAGCCCATGAATCTCACAGGAAATCTACAAAAGCCTTATCAGTGTGATGAGATCTATACTGCAACTGGATTTTAAAATAATTTTCAAGGATTAAACAAGAACAACAATAAAACAAAAGCAAAAACTGTATCTCTTAAAACAATAAAATGTGCACGCCCCTATCTTTCCCATGATATAGGAGAGTTATTTCATACGGAAGAGGTTTTCATTTAACTTTTTACCTATGAGATGCCTTTTCCATTCTTTTGAACTTTTCTAACTTCTCATTTATTCCTTTCTGCACACAAAAAAAGTTTTGTCCATTTACAAGAAAACAAACTAAAATGTGAAGAAAATTTGACAGTTTTTCTTTGTTCATTTATACCTTTCTCAGTATAGGGACTTTGGGGGAAAAAAAAAGCCTAGAAACTGATTTCAGTCTTCTTTATTCCACATAGGAAAACTGTGTGAATTGGATCTTTTTAAAATGTAGTTCCCACCTGTTTCCTATTTTCTTCATGATTGTGAATCTCATGGTTTGGGAGATGAAAGCAGCCTTCAGGCACAGAAACTGACCTTGCTCTTTCAATTGATTTTGGGGTTGAAAGTAGAAGAAGAAAGCAACAAAAAAGCATTGCTTTAAAAATATCCTCACACAAATAGAAGGAAAACTGGTAATAACTTTAAAAGTAGCATCTTCAGTGAAACTTTTTGCTAGGAAGACACATAGACCAATTTTCCTTTTCATTTACACAACTAGAAAGAAACAAGAAATTTGGTCCACTGAAAAAAGACTGGCATTCTCTTTATAAAGTATTTATTTTCTTTTTGACCTATTCTTTCCAGTAAATGTTTCATAAGTATATACAGAAACTCAATTCTAATGCATATTTATGGCATGTCCACATTATGTGCAAAACAAGTTGTTCATCGGAATGGCATTGATCGCAACAATCTTTAGAAGAAAAACATGTTTTTGTTTATTTTTCTGTTTGTTTTGTTTTTATAAGTCTGAGCATGACTGATAGAAATAGGTTAACAAAAATTCTACTTGGAAAAAGAATGCTTTTTTTCTTTTTTTCCCCAAGAATGCCAGAGTTCTGTCCATAATTGTCTTTAGGTTGTGCATAATTGCCTAACCTTGATGGGATTGGAAAAGCTAGGAGAGGCCTTTCTTCTTTTAAGCTATGGAAATATTCCTGAAAGAGACACTATTCTCAGAAAAATATATAACATGGTGCACCATGTCCACCACAGAATATTCCTTCTCAGGTTGTGATTGCATAACCATCATCTCATCATTCTAACCAGGCTCACTTTTTGTAACTCCCAACCCTGTGGCCAGGTACTGGCAGAGCGAGAAGGCAAGGTTGCTTTCCTTATTTAGATTCAGTGCCTAAACTTGTCCTCCACTTCATGTAGCTAAACTTACCAAGCAGCGGCACCGTTGGCAATTCTGGACCCAGGTGTCACCACTGTTGTACAAGGTTTCTCCATTTTGATGGAGGCACTGACTGCTAAGCCTTGGGTCACATTCAGGGCAGCAAAAAAGATCTACTGTGGGATTCTCACAGTCACAGACCATCCGTCGACACATAACAAACCCATTCTGTATGAAAAAGAAAATAAATAGTTACCAAAAACCTCCATTTCTCAATATATTAACATCACATTCTCAAACTTGTATATATCAGATGTTGATTTGGAAGTTCAGATAATTCACACCATTTACCCAACATAAATTTTCTTTAAAATTACATTTTGTAGCTAACACATAGAAATTACCCAAGCTGAAGGACTTCCTATTTTCTTTCCATACACTACTCCTCAAATGGTTTATCCAGAAAGATATTTTGCAGAAATGATCAGTATAAAATGATAACCACTACATAGCTCTTATGTGTATATAAACATGTGTGTACATATCAATACACATGTATTTGTATATTAGTATAGTAATTTAAACACTAAATTTTGTTTTGTTGGAGGGCACATGGGTTAGTATTTGGTAGCTAGTCAATACATTTTATATATTGCTAAAATTCTGTAATATTTTAGACCTTATTTTTTGTACAGACTGTTATCAATTTATTTCATAATAGTTGAGTCCTTGGTATATAGTGTTTTCATTTAAATATAATTTAAGTTTCCATTATTAACTGGGTACACATAGCAGAACACTTCTCTAAAACTGAAGTACAGCCCAAATAGATATTTTCATTCTTGGGTCATATAGCATGTCCATTCTGACTTCATTTATGCATTCATTAAAATATGAAATTGAGACTAAAAAATTGTCATAGTTAGTAATACAATTTTATGAATGTGTGAATAGATATACACATTGTGATATATCCATACAATGAAATACTATTCAGCAATAGAAATAAATGGATTACTGATATATGTAACAATATGAATGAATCTCAAAAACATAATAGAAGCCAGACATAAAAGAGTATGTACTATATGATTCCACTTATATGAGCCTCTAGAAGATACAAATTCAATCTATAGGGACTGGGAAAAGTGTTTGCCTGGGTCTGGGGGTGTGGGACTAAATAGGAAAGAACATACGTCACATGTGGGTTAATAGAAATGTTCTATTTATATTAATTGTGATGGTGGTTAAATGGATGTATGCATTGTCAAAACTCATCAAGCTATACCCTTAATACATGCAAAATACAACTCAATAAAATTGACTAAAATTTTTTATTTATACCAACCTGACATGAGCACACAGAGCACCGGTCATTTTCCAACACCCAGATCTGACCATTGTGCTTGATTTTCCCATCATGAATGCAGTCTCCTGTGCAATTCTTTCCATGAGGACACCGACAATCATATCCACCATCCAAGTTAAAGCAAATGGTGTCATTGGCACAGCTATGCCTCCCGGTCCCACACTCATCAATATCTATGGCCAAGAAAAAAGCAGTATGCAGAGTGCTTAGAATATGCTCAGTTGCAAACAGCTACAGTCAGGCAAGATGTCTCCCGACACAAAGCATTCAACCTTAAATTAATTTTCCTCTTACCGCGATGCGTTTCCTATTAAATGCTGACTAAAGCAATGTTAATGAGGACTTCGTAGGAAAATATTACCATGTTTAGCTTTAAAAACCAGACAACCTTGGCTAGAATTTCAACTTTTATATCTCTGTAAATACCATTAGGCTTTATGAAACATTTGTATTTTTTGACAGTAAGAATATTACTCAATTTATCAAACAAAAATAGTTTGGCGATAAGAATTCTAAACATGCCTGGGATATTTTATTGGGGGTATCAACTTCCATGTTAAACTGGTGCTTACAGAAAATCCCTTCCTAGTGGGAGATGAAATGTCATGAGACCCCTGAGGCATTATATTCAATTTCAAACCGTATTCTCACAGCTGCACCACCCCACAAGTAAGTTCTTTCTAGTGTGCTGCCTAGGTGTTCTTCCTTTACAGTCCAGGTATTTTTCACACTGTCCGCATACCCTGCCCCTCGCCCACAGAAAGCAAATGACCATCAGCAATTGCTGCCTCTCTCACCAAGAATTAACTACGTCTTAACTTTTCCATTTCAGATGATCATTCCATCCCCTGCCTGACTCAGTCAGCAAGTGCCCCTTCTTCACCCGACCTCACCTATTCCATGGCAGTCACAGCCTAAAGCATTTTCATACAGATGAAAAGCAAACATATCTTGACCCACAGATCAGGTCCATAAGAAGAGATGGGATTCATTTTATTTATTCCTGTGATTTAAAGGTCACAAGCCAAAATACATTTCAGAGATATTGTATGAGTGGCAGTAAGCAGTTATTTTCCATTTCATCTGTTGCCTCTGATTAAAGGTCAAGAAAGAAAAGAATTAGATCACAGCAGGAAAAGTGAGTTAGAAGGCTGAATGTATAGCTTTTAACTACGGGAACTGCACATACACTGATTTTCATCATAGATTTTAAAGATAGAGTTTAGTAAATATATTCAATGATTTGATTTCAACATAATTGAAGACTTGAACTAGTCCAAACTATATCTTTGCCATAGTTAAGTTCTTAAATACTTAAGTTTTATCATATGTGCATTCCCAAATATAAGCCACATGATATATTTGTTCTCTATCTTGCTTTTTATTAGTTCCTATCTCAACAAAACCAATCACTTGAAACAATGGCTGCAAATGTTGTTCTTATAACTACAGTGAACTTTATTACAACTTGATTTGTAAAGGATAATACTGTTTATGATTACAAACTGTGATGAAAAAGAGACCTGTTAGCATGAGGATATATTTTTTAAAAAGTTTAAGTACATTGGTTAATACATATTTTTTTCAGATCAGAGAACATTTTGAATTTGTAATTAAAGTAAAATTTTGTAAATGAATTCTATATTTGCTTTATTCAGAATAATGTGATATAACTGATCAGTCGATCTTTTTCTCCCACTAAAAATTATTCTCAGAATTAGGAATTATAGTAAGCAGGAAAAACATTAACCATAGTTAGCTTGTTTCTTTAATTACATACTTTACAAACACCTTTTACTACATAATTCTGTCAATATCCACTCTAGGAACATTATTCCACTAATGGCAATGGCTGATTTTTGCAATCATTTTACTTGGCCTGATATTTAAAAATAAAAGCTCTTCTACTATGTAATGCATATTTTTCTTAAAGGCAGAGAGAGTTCATGGGTTTGCTGCAGAAGACAAAGAAGAGATATCAAGGCACAAGAAGAATATGTGCTCTTAAATAGAGTACATTTATAATAAAGAAATACAGTAAAAAGTTGCTCACAGTAATGGTTGGCATGTACTTGCCATACCTGGAGAAATGTGTAGGCAGAAGTATTATAATGGATTAATTATTACCTTCTGCTATCCGGTGGAATTTAAACTGTTTGAAATTACCTTGTCTTTTCAGCTTGTTGTGCATACTAGGTTTCACAATGTAGAAATTTTTCCCAATTGATACAAAATTTTGTGATATAAAAAATTTAAATACATTTTAGGGGCCGGCCTGGTGGCGCACTGCTACAGTGCACCGCTTGGGAAGCGCGGTGGCGCTCCCGCCGAGGGTTTGGATCCCACATACAGACCGGCCGCTCACTGGCTGAGCGAGGAGCGGGGGCAATGCCGAGGGTTGCGATCCCGTAGCCGGTCCCGGTCCGGTACGGATGCAACACTGAGGGTTGCGGTCCATTGCCGGTCACGAACAAAGACAAAAAGACAAAAAGACAAAAAAAAAAAAATTAAATACATTTTAGACATATATTTATTATAATGTAAGTGTGGGGAAAATTGGATAATTTAGTCGGGCTCCCTCAGCTCAGGTCTGGTTGGGGGTCATGCAGCACATTTCTTTGTAGACAAGTTGTTCGTGGGTGGAGTTCATGCGCATGTGCACCCATGTATCTTTCTAGTTGGTTACTTGTGTGTGTTATTCAGCTTGTGAAGCAGAGCTGGCTGACAGAGAGCTTGCGTCTAAAAATAGAGCATGTTTACTCTGCTGGCAGCTGCTCAGCTTCTCTTTGGACCTTGAGTTTGGGAGTTTCTTTTTGTACTGCTTAGCTCTCAGATGTGTGTGTGCTGAATAAAGACTTCCTACTTCAGCCAAGGCTCCAAGGACCTTTTGCCGGTTACCTAGGTCATAGACCTGTGTGTGAAGGGTTTGTGAATGGGCTCGAGGGGTCTGTGAGCTCCAGACCCAGCTGTAGCTCTACAGTAAGATTCCCAAATTAAATATACATAAAGAGTATATATTCCGCTTTGAAAAACCTACTGTAATATATAAAAATTCCAACTTTTAGAACACTGATAATTCCTTTAGTAAATGATTATTGAAGAAATAGTGTTGCTAAATTTATCGGTCAAGTCTCAGTTCTCATCTAGCAGCAGCATTTGACACTGTTCACTCCCTCTCCCTGATAAATTTTCCTTAACTTGCTTCCTATTGCATCGGCAGCTCTTTCTGGATTTTTCTCTCACTTATGTGTTCTCTACATATGTCGATTATACTATGAATAAGATTTAGCCATGTAAGAGATAAAGAGTGGTCTAGTCAGATCAAGAGTGTGTTTGAAGGCCCAAAGTTTAGAGCTATCAAGATGTGCTGGAGGAACAGAAATGTCGTGTGGCTGGAATGTCCAGTGAGAGAGGGGAGTAGGCGGTCACACAGCTGAAGAGAGGTACTCAGTGCCCACGTAAAAATAATATTAAGAAACTTGAACTTTATCATAAAAGCGATAAAATGTCATTTTAGGGAAATGCAAAAAAAAAAAATCACAATCAGATTTTCATTTTAGAAAGATTCCTTTGGCTTCTTTTTGGGGAAAGGGATTTGAGTAGACAGAATTTTAAGCCAGGAGATCAATTAACAGGTTGTTTCAGCACTCCAAGTAAGAGATGATCATATGATAAAAGCAGACTCTTATATAGTGGCTGGTATGTACCAGATTCTGAGTACTTTTTATATAACAGTGAAGACAATGGGATGATATCTCAACGCAGTTTTGATTTGCATTTCCCTGATGATTTGTGAACAGTGAGACAATGAAGGTAGAATCAGAACAATTTACTCATTCATTGGCTTTGAAGATGAGGGAGAGGGAGGGGTCAAGAATGATGTTCAGATTTCTGGCTTGGAAATTTTGGTTGATGCTCTTTACAGAAAAAGAGCAAGATTTTGCTGGGGAGTGGAAGTGGGGGGCAGGGACGAGGGCAGGCACGAGATCAGTTTAGGACATACTTAACTGCACTTTTACCGGGTTGCCAAGTGAAGCTATCCAGTAAGTACAGTCATGCGTCACTTAACAATGGGGATAACATTCTAAGAAATGAGTTCTTAGGTGATTTCATTGTGCAAGCATCACAGAGTGTGCTTACACAAACCTGGATGGTATAACTACTACAACACCTAGACTATTGTTGTGACCACTGTCATATAAGTGGTCCATCATTGACTGAAACGTTATTGTGTAGAGCATGACTGTAGTTGGATATAGCAGTCTGGAGCTCAAAAAACAGAACTACACTGGAATATGGATTTGGTGCAGACATATTTTCATCATTCCTCTTCTCAAAAATAGTCCTTTAGACTCAAGTTCAAACTTCTTAGTAAGGCATTTAACGCTGCTTCCTCTGCTTCCATTCTCTTTATCTAGATCAACTTGCCAATAATCTTATCGTACTTAAACAAATGCTAGAAACTCTGAAAAGCCTTTCTTGACACCCAAGAGAAAATAATTTCTGTCTTTGTTCCTTCACAGCATAGCATTTATATTTTTTCTCAAAATCAAATGATTTTCTCAATCATTTTCCATCTTGTCTTGTAGCTTTCTCATCTAAAAAACATACTACATTTTACCTAGCATTGCAGTTGTACATATTTTATCTCTTCTAAAAGATGAGAGCAGTGACCATCCATCCTTTATAATTGTGTGCAACAGATGCCTGACAAAATACCTCAATGTACCTGTGCATATATTCGGCAACACTGAGGGTTGCGATCCGGTGCCGGACATGGAAAAAAGACAAAAAAAAAAAAATCAAATGATTTTCTCAATCATTTTCCATCTTGTCTTGTAGCTTTCTCATCTAAAAAACATACTACATTTTACCTAGCATTGCAGTTGTACATATTTTATCTCTTCTAAAAGATGAGAGCAGTGACCATCCATCCTTTATAATTGTGTGCAACAGATGCCTGACAAAATACCTCAATGTACCTGTGCATATATTCAGTAACTTCTTGTTGAGCTGGATCAGATTAATTTCATTTGGGTCCTTTATTTTTGATTTAGGTTAAAAATTCACAGTATTTGGCTTGAACAGAATATTTAAAAGACAATATTCTGTAAACATCATATTTTTGGTGTCATGAGTTTAAAAAACTCCACCGAGCTTAAAGATCATACAGGAATTAAAGCAATATAGGGAAATGTGAGCATTAAAATAAAATATTCTTACATTAAAAAAAAAATACCAGGCCGTATTCCCAGAGACACAAAATTTCAGACATCATTTCAGTAGAATTGATGATATGGACAAAAAAAAAAAAAGAAAAAAAAAAAAAAGGCACTCTGGCATGTTACCTGGGGATTAAATGTCTAAATCTCTGAGATAAACGGATGAGCAAAACAGCACACAATTTGTATGGAAGCAGCTTCTAAACGCATATGTTGTAGACCACACAACTGCAACCTAAAAAGGAGTGAAACAGTGCATTTTTTTTTCATGTCTTCAAGTGCAAATCTTATACTTCAGAGTAATTGTAAATCCACTGCTGTGGCCTTGTCCAATTTGAAATACTTGTTTTTTTTTTTTTCAAGCAACAGAAAATGGCACCCACTCAGATATAATCACACTCTTAAAATTGAATCCTTCTAAATACTAAGATTATAACTCTGCAAATCACTGAAATTGCAGTAAATGGATAGTTGTTTAGTATTTTAGTCTTTTTTTTTTAAACATAGGAGGGTTCTTTTAAAAGAATCCTTCAGAGAATGCTGTCTTCTGACAGAGTAATAGATTTTTCTGATAATCTTTACAAATTCTATTGGTAGATGATAGGAGAATCATCTTTCCAGAATAGTATTTTTTTAAAAATAAGATTTTCCATGGTTTCTGTAGTTGTGAAATTTATTCGAAGAGCCTTTTCTGTATAGGCATCTCATAGAATCCTTTACTTCTCTATCTTCATATTTATTATGTGTTGTTTTAATGTTAAGTTTAATTGTCCTTGCGACTTTCTAGACTGAACTCTCATGAATGAACTTAGTGTGTTTTTTCCTGACCACTACTATATATCTACTTCTAACGTACTATATATAATCACTCGATTTCATATTAACATAGGTTATTAAATTAACATAATTCTAGCATAGGGTGTGTATCTAATGTATTCTTATTTAAAGATTACCTATCTATCTTTCTATCTATAATCCATCTCAATCTTTTTCATTAGACAAATACATTTATCATTTACTCTGTGCTAACTACTGTTCTATGAACTGAAGATATAGTAGCTGACAAGGAAACAAAAATCTATGACCCTTTAAGCTTGCATTTTAAAGCACACAATAAGCAAGGAAACAAATATATACTATAATTTCAGGAGAATTTATTATTTCAATGAAAAAAAGGAAAGCAACAGTGAATAGAATGCCAGAGGTAGGAGGCTATTTTAAATTGGGAGTCCAGGAGAAGCATTTGAGAGAAAATATGAATTAAATAAAAGAACCATACAAAGATCTGGGGGAAGGGCATCCCATACAAAGAGAACAGCACAGCAAAGGGTATTTGGTGTATTTGAGAAATGGCAAGAAAACCAAAGATGTATATCGTGTAGGATCTTATGGTCAGTGTTTGGATTTTACTCTGAGAGAGAGATGGAAAGGCTCCAAGAGCATAAAGAGAGAAGTAACATGTTCTGACTTCAGTTTTAGAAGGATAATTCTAAGTTCTATAGAAGAAAGCCTCTAGGGGAGTCAGGAGTCGAAATAGGGAGACCAGTTTGGAGGCAGCTATAGTGGTCCAGACAAAAGATAGTGAGGGCTTAGAGCAAGACGATAACAGCAGAGGTGGTGAGAGGTGGTCAGATGATTAGGAATATATTTTGAAAGTTGACATTGAGATTTATCAGTGTATTGGGTGGGATGTATGAGGAAAAGAAAAAAAACAAAACAAAACAATGACTCCAAAATGTTGGTCTGGGCAACTATGTTTAGGAACCTGTGGGATTTAGAGAGTAAATCAAGAATTCTGTTTTAGTCCTATTAGGTCTGAGTTGCCTATTGAGACACCCAGTCGACACTAGATATGTGAAACTATGAAAGAGGTCTGAATAAGGAATACACAGATGGCATTTTAAACCATGGAACCGGTTTACGTAGGGATTAAGAATGGATAGAGAAGAATGACAGGGCCTGAGCTCTGGGGCATTTAAATATGCAGTCCTCCAGAGAGTGAAAGAAGAGACTCATAGGGTGAGAGAAAGCCAGGAGTGATGTCCCCAAAGCCAAATGAACAAAGCTTTGTTTTGAGAGAAAGAAATGATCAATTAGGTCTAATGCTTGAGGTGGTGGTTGAGCAAGACCATAAATGGCTGGCAGGTTTGGAAAGATGGAAATTGTAAGTAATCTTAAAAGGAAGGTATTGGTTAGAGCAGTGGGACTAATGCTTCGCTGGAAGCAAAAAGGCAGAGATAACAAGTACAGAAAATTCTTTCTAGGAGTTTTGTTCTAAAGGAAGCAGAAAAATGGAGAATATGTCTGGAGCATTAGGTTCTGTCAAGAGAAGTTACGTTTTGATTGTTTTTGCTTCATTTTTTAAAGATGGCTGCAACTCCAGATTGCTTGTACGCTGATGGTAATAATGCAGCAAGAAAAGAACATTTAATGATATGGAAGAGAAAGTGGATAATACAAGGGCAAATCCTCAAGTAGGTGGGAGAGGATAAGATGTAAGATACAATGGAGGGTTTGAGGTATGAAAGGAGCAGGGCCAGTTCATCCAATGCAACAGGAGGAAGGGGAAGCAGCAGATAAACACATAAATGAGCATAATAGTGTGGCTTGTGGTATAAAAGTGAAGTTGTTCTCTTTTGACTACTTCTGTTTTCTCAGTTAAACTGGCCACTGACAGAGACTGAAGAGACAGGAAGCAGTATCCAAGTCTGAGAGGACTGGAGAAAGTATGAAAGCTTGTATCAGAGAATTGACGGGGAAAGTAACTAAAGAAAGAAGTTGGAATGCTGGACGGTGCTAATGGCCCTAGTGGCAGGTGGCTTCTAAGATGGCCCCCAGTGATCCTCACTTAGTATTTACGCCCTGTGTAATCCCCTCCCCTTGAATGTGGGCTAGACTTACTGATTTGCTTCTAACAAATATAAAGTGGGAGAAGTAATGGGCTGTCACAAATGGTATTAGCTTATAAAAAGACTGTGGCTTCCATATTGGGCATTTGCTCTCTCTCAGATGGCTTACTGTAGGGGAAGGCAGCTCCCAGGTATTGAGGAAGCCCTATGGAGTGGCCCATGTGTTAAGGAACCAATGCCTGCCAAAAGCAGGACCATAAATAGACTCTCATTCCCCCCACTCCCACTCCAGACATGGCTTCCTGGTAAGACCACAGCCCCAAACAACTGCTTGGCAGCAATCTCATGAGAGACCTTGAATCAGAGGTACTCAGCTAAGCTATGTACAGATTCCCGATCCACAGAAACTATAAGATAATGTTTGTTGTTTCCAGCTGCTAAGTTTTGGAGGTGATTTGCTATGCATCAATAGATAGCTAATAGAGACCATTTGAGATTTGTGGTTATAAATTTAAAAGATGGTCAGTGCAGTTACACATTTAAAGTAAGATAGTCAGCAGAGGTATGTGGGGTTTTTGTTTTTGTTGTTGTTCACATTTAGATGCACAGAAAAGGATGTGCAAAGATATCAAGCAAAATTAACAGAGGTTTATCGCCTTCAGAAGGTAAGTGGAAAGGATGGAGAAAAGGGGGAGACGAAATGAATAAGTATTTTCAGCTTTAATCTCTATACTTCTGTATGATTTTCATTATTTACAATCAGCTTTTATTCATTCTTTGTGTGCATAACTTGAACAAAAAAGGTGATCTTAATAAAACACTATAGAATACAAGCAAAGTAGCTTATCAGGGAAGAGCAAAATCATACTGTTTGATCTAGTTCCAACTGCAATCTGTGGCTCCTGGCATTCTCTACAGAGATGGAAATACTCACTCTGGGACATTCACGAGTGCAGGGTAAAGCCCTCAGACCACAGTTAAGTGGTTATTTGCAGATGCCAGGTTTTGTTTTAGCCCCTGGAAAGGCAACAACATTCCCATTTCTATGTGAAAATCCTGACGAACCTCTCTTCAAGGTCCAGAGCTCCGCTGCTGCTGGCAAAGCATGCCGGGAGCCTTGGCACCTACCACCCGAGTCTGTTTCACTTTCCCCTGACTGAAAAACCCTTTGAGGCCCAAGCATAAAAGACATCTTATCATTTTGGTGTCAAGTACCTCTAAGTTAGATTCTTAAAGGCTTTCATTGACTGTGTCATCTTAACCCCATGGTTCTCTCAGGCTTTTGCTGTATGAAGAGGTAAATACACATGGAGAAAATGATGAGTTCATGAGTTTTGTTTTGTTTTTCGTTCCTGTGCCAACACTCCTGATGGCAAACTCTTTCAGCATGGGTAGTCTCCTGGCAATTATTCACAGGGCTCTGCTTTCTCTGTCTGATGTCTAAAAATCTCAGCAGAGATTAAAGACGAGCAGAGTTTCTTGTCAATTCACTGAAAATAATTCAAAATTAATAGTAAATAATTAAGTACAATCCAATTGAATTTTCTACTCCTATTAGATTGCAAACTTCTTGGAAACGAGGACTATATCTTATGTATCTGACATTTGACATTCACTGAACATCTCTTCCTTTGCCAGGCAAGTGATATGTTAGGAACAGCCCAGAGTGGCATGTACTGTGTATATTATCCCTGGCCACAACATCATTCTATATTCCCTATTCCCATTTTTCCATTATTTTGCTTTCCTCATCAATTTTTTTCTACCTGTTTTGGAGTCAGATTTTTGCATGCTCTTTTTTAAAAAAAACTATGTGTTACTACAGATTTTTCATTCTAAAAACACCCTTCAACAGTTGCAAGGATCCACAGAGAACTGGTTTAGTGTCACAAATTTTAATTATCTAAAAATAAATTAATTACCATAATTAGCAACCAAAGTTAGATTTCATCATGTTTCTGATCACTGTTGTGTAAATACAGAGCAAAAACCACAAACAACTTAAACATTAGCTCAATGTCTACTATTTACATCTTATTGTACATTCCTCAAGCTCAAGAGGAGTTCTTGAACTCTAGGTCTTCTCCTTGTACTGACCTTCACACGATTCTCCAGTTGGGGAAAACATCCCATTGTCATGGTAGCCATCTCTGCACTCACAGTGGTACCATCCAGGCAGGTTAATGCAGTTAGCACGGCTGTCACACTGAACAAAGCCATCGGAGCATTCATCAATGTCTGTTTGGCAAAGAAAACCAAAGTGGGATTTTATACAATTATTTCTTTTCTCTTAAAGAAACTAGAATATTCTGCTGCAAGGCGGCTAATATTGTTATGCCAGCAAATCCTTGAAAATGAGAAAATATAAAATCAAGAAGTCCATTTGGTTGTTAAAAGCTGTACAGAAAGAATGTAGTGCTATTAGTAACAGGAGAAACATGTAGATGTCCTCTGTTGCAAAAGTCATTCGACTGTAGAAAATGGAAAGAAACCATCTGTGATGGTCATTAGTGCTGCTCATCAAACATTTCTAGCTCTTCTGGACACAAGCTTGGACTGTAGTTCTCCAGTCCTTTTACTTTAGGTGTGGCCATGCGACTTCCTTAAGCCAGTTAGGGAGTGATATGTGTCACTTCTAGGCACATATTGTTAAGATGCAGTGTGTGATTCACATGTACCCTTCCCCATCACAAAGATCAGCAATTTCCAGGGGCTCTAAAAACCAACTTGAGAGCCAGCCCCGTGGCGCAATCGGGAGAGTGCGGCGCTGGGAGAGCAGCGACGCTCCTGCTGCAGGTTCGGATCCTATATAGGAATGGCCAGTGTGCTCACTGGCTGAGCGCAGTGCGGACAACACCAAGCCAAGGGTTGCGATCCCCTTACCAGTCACGAAAAAGAAAAAAAAAAAAAAAAAACAACTTGAACTCCTGAGGGAGGATGATATGGGACACGTTCCTCACTTATCTGGGATGAAGATACACTACAAGCAAGAAATCAACCTCTGTTGCTTTAAGTGACTGAGACTTTAGGGTCTTTTATTACTATCAGCATAACCTATCCTGACTCGAATATGCACCATTCATCTTTAGTATACATGGCAATAGCATCCATGCACCAGTATGCTTTATATTTTCAAGAATACACACCATTTATGTCACTTTTTACTGATTCACATATATTATTTCATTCAAGCCTCAAAAGAATATCTTGCCATGTTGATAGTATATTGAACATATGAAAAAACTGAGGCAAAAGGAAATTATGGGATTTAACCAAGATCACCTAAAAGTTCACGGCTGCATGGCTTTCAGGCATGTGCTCCTTCATACAAGACGACCCAGGCTGAAATCAGAAAAATGTCTGTACAAAGAGAGCTGTGGATCTTCAGTCTCAGATATTCCCTCCAGAGGCTTATTCCTATTCCCAAATGTTTTGAACCTTTTATTTTCTTCATTCAGTCTGCTGAATGACAGGAATATCCAGCACCATCCAAGTCCCTTCCTTCGCTCATAGAGGGAAAAGTGATCCCTGGGGATTACTTAAAGTTTAAGCTGCCTTAAAGTTTCCCCTTCTTCTAATTACCTCCTGGTTTTCTGGGTCCTTTGGCTCAAATCAAACCCTGCTAAATGATTCAATGGTACTGCACCATTGTGGCTGCCAAAAGTATCCATTCTCATCTTGATAGGCCCACGGCATGACTGAAGGCTCCTCCTGTCAAGGCAGAGTGGTCCTTTCTTGTATGCTTCCCACACCTGTGTCATATTCCCTGCTACAGTGGCCAGACACAGTGACATCCCTCAGGCTTGAAGGTAAGGCCAGCTGCTTTATAGAATCCTTTCCCTCAGACAGTCCCTCTGGCTGCCAGAATCTACTTCCTTCCTATTTCAGTCTTATGTAACTCTAAATTCCTAGAATCATATATTCCCTTCATTTTCTTTTAAAATTTCCTATTTTCTGATGTTCAATTTTGAAAGAGACAAATAAATAAATGAATAAATAAGTAAAAAAAAAATCAGAGAAATGAGTCATCACTCATGTACTTCTTGATAGGTCCGGAGTTTCTTAAGTAAAACAGCATGTAAACCATTCTCTTAGATTATTATGTAATAGGCCAAAAAACCAATATTTTATATCACTGTAATATTTTAACATTATTTCTGTACTATGAATTATTTTGCCTCTGTGTTTTTTCTTCTTAAGAGTCAGTGACTACTGTCAGTAATTCTTCCTGTCAAAACAGTTAGTGGCCAAATCAGCTAACCATTGACTTCCTGACACATAGCTGATGTGGATTGCTTCCATTTACTAAGGCCTCATAGGTTTTGTGAAATAGCCTGTTTGTAATTCAGGGGCCTGCCTAACTGATGAACCTCCGATTATAAATGGGTCCAGAATGCTATGTTCATTTCAGCTTTATGTGGTCTTTTCTTCTAACCCAAATGATGCAGAAAATTGATTATGTCACTTCATAAGTGCATAGACAAAAGAAAACAGGTTGAAATTTAAGCTTTAGAAGTGAGTCTTATTGGAAGAAGGCCATAGGGGGGATGTTTAGAGTTTCTCATTTGAGAAGAATTTGGTCATTAAGATTGGTGATTTGGAAGTAACTATTAAAGGAACAGGGCTTTCTCCACTGAAGCACCTTTCCTGTCTATATTTAGCTCTTAACTTAGTCCTTTCTTCCTGCCTTAACACAGTCATAGGGTTATCCCAGTTCCCAGTGTATGGATATGTATTTCAGGTGTTCCTTCTCACTTCTTTTCTCTCTTGTCACTACTTTTCCATCACCTCATATCCCTCTCTCTTCACATTACAGAACATTCCTTGAACTATAAATATCCTCTTTAAAGTTTAATAGAAATGCTATGAAATTTACTACTTAGTATTTTGAAGACTGGGAATATAAATGTATGCCTGCCATATGTATTCTTGTATAAAGCTTGAGCATTATTTTATTATTTAATTATTACTACTAGGTAATATTTTAGAGGATAAATATGCAAACATGTGCTTCATTCATTAACTTACCATTCAGTATTTATTGAACACCTATTATGAGTATGTTCCAAAAACTAAGAGCTTAAGGAAACAAGGATGTACAAGACAGAAGTAATTTCTGCCCTTGATGAGTTTATCATTTATTTAAATTGTGCTTTATTTTAAGAAAATTAAATTTATGAAAGTCTCAATTTACAATCATTTAGAACAGTGTTTCCCAACATGTCCTATATCTGCCACCAGAGGTATACAGGTGATAATGGGCAAATACTTATTTTAATGGCTACATATCTATGTTTCTAAATTATTTATACTTATAGCAAGTGATATTTATAGTATGGTAATGAAATGTACCTAAATTTAAAGAGTGGGATCAATGATAGAAACAATATTAAGTAAATATTGTTATAAATGTTATATGAATATGACAAAAACTATGAAGTTTTGAAAACACCAAAATACAGTGTGGGACAATTATTAACATTTCAGAGAGATTTTCTGAGTAATTTCTTATGTAGTGAAATGCCTTAATTCATCTAAAACATGACTCAATTTATAAAAAGTACACATGTCACAGCTCAAAATTGCATACTTGCTACCATTTGGGGGGCAAGAAAAACTTGCCAGATAATATATATAACTTCATTTTACACTTTTATGTTCCTGCTAATTTTGATTTGTTTATATGAACTTTTCTACTTTAGTTATAGTCAGTCGAAAATGGAAGTGTGCTTGGATGGCCAAAGTGCGCACTTCCCACCAAAAGGTATGAATGTTTGGCTCACAGCTCTAATTAAAGCCAAAAAGCTAATAAAATAAACAGCCTCATCTGTAAGCTGTTTAATGGTATGCATGTTCTTAGTGACAACAAGAACATTTAGTAAATAAAAAATTGCAATTTGATTCACAGTTTACGAATTAAGTACATTTTGTCTATACACAAATGAGGTCATTAGCATGAGTTATAACATACAGGTGCACACACATTGTTTCCATTTTCAATTATGCACATGTCATTTTCAAATAATTTATTTCTTGGGCACTTTCTTTAGGTTAGATAAAATCTAATTTCACATTATCTAATTGAATCAGATATATAGAAAACAGCAGAACTAGGAGAGGAAAAAATGTTATTGTTATATTTCATGTAAGAACTATTGAGTTTGAACAATTACTTTCCAAACTGGAAAAAAGTATTAAAAACGATTAGTATAAAAAGCATAAGCTCATATGATTTAGTCTAAGTAATAAGGACTTTAATTTTGTTCTCTGTAGATGCATTATATAGAAAACTAAAAATTCATTTTAGAAATTTTATGATTTCATTATATATTCTGTCTCAGAAAGAAAGTAGTTCCTCAATTCCTTAAGGACAATTAGAACTTTTTCAGTAGCCACATTTAGAACAGTCAGCTAATGATGATGCTGTCCCAAAGCACAGAAAGTCTAAAATCTAAGAGATGTTTAGCATCCTACAACAATCACGAATAGCAGTCATACTCTGGGGATCAAAATAGACTGAGATAATAAAAATGAAAGACACTGCTGAGAAAGCACAAGTTTTGAGCCATCATTAAAAACAAACTGACAAGCAAAAAAACAAGAAAGGAAAATGTATGAATTTTATAAAGCTCATGTATGTTAGTGTCTGGTTTTCTCTATCTCCCTCAGGGATGGTGGCACAAGACTGAGTGACTTCTACAAGGCCTCAGACCACTGGCTTCAGAGGTAACCAACTGAAAATGGCTTTTGCCATCAGCATTTAAAGGGTCATTTTAGAAAATAACAATTTCCTCATAAAATTAACTGTGATTATAGAATGAGACAATTGAGTGATAAATACCCTCTTTTTCATGTATAGTAACAGTTATTTCTACTATAACTTAACTAAGAACAATAAATAATGTACAAATGTCTAGAAACATACCTAAAATAGTTCCTTATCAGTACTTTAACTCTTTTAAACTCTAAGAAAACTGATTGGTTGCTACTCATATTTTATACAAAAGAAAGGGAAATCCAAATCTTTTTAAAGACGAGTGTACTATCTTTAATTGCAAAGTCGAATAATGAGAGTACTGTCTTTCATACTTTTATTAATAAAAATATAATATCATTCTTATTAAAAATAGTACTTGTTCTATTTATATTACTATTCCATGCACTGATAGTGAAATTATATTGATAAACAGCAGGCAATTAAAGATCCTCAAAACAATTAATCAACTCTTGATTACCCA